GCGGAAGGCGCGGGACTGCATGCACCTGCCTTGTCAAACCCCCGTGCCGCGGGGCCGCGGAGCGAATTCGCGGACATCGGAGGGCTGCGAGTCCACCGAGCGCTTCGCAGCAGCCTTTGGTCTGGAAACCTGGGGCGACCCTTTGGTCCTGCCGGTGGAGGAGGGGGAAACGGTGCAGTGGGCAGGAGGGAGAACCTGCTGCGAAGCTGCACAGGAGAACCTGTGGCTTTCCCCAGAGGAAGAACGGGGTGCAGTGTTTGCAGATCGCATTTGAAAGGGGTATATAAGCCTTGCATCGTGGACTGAGGAGGGAAGCCATAACTTTGAGATCTGTAGATCCAGTCACTGTGCTGCTCCAGTATAGCGCAGGCTTTCTGCATGCTGCGAAATGAGGTCTGTGTTTTGAGGACTGTTTGGGACATAACAACTTTGTTTACAGTTGTTCTGATGTCTTTTGTGCAAGTGCCAGATACCGCATATGCATCAAGTTCTATGTGAGCATGTGTGCTTGGAGGTATGTATGCTTAGGAATCTCCATAACCTCTCTGAGATGTGGCGCTGTCCAACTGTAGGGAGATCTCTGCCAAGAGACATTATTAGTGTCTGCAGTAATTATGGAGCTATGTAGGAGTGGCATATCATCACAGGGACTGCCAGGTAGGGTGGGTAAAGCCTGCTAGCTCAGTGGTGGCTAGAAGTACTCAGATGTTACCCTGTGCTCCACCTGAGGTGAATTTCGTGTTGCAAAACACATAGTTCCTATGCATATCCAACCCTGCGATAGTTAAAGTCGCATGTAAAACGGCTGAGGCACTACAGTTGTGATGTGGACTAACAATAGTTTTTTTTGGAGCTCCTAAAACATTAATTCAAATGTATGTATCATGCTGTCTGCAAAAATCTCTGCAGATGTCCATGAAACTCTAATTTTTTAAAACTTTGGATGGTATAGTCACCTAGCAGAAAGAAAATACGTGCTTTTCTCTGAAACTAAAAATACGTGTGAAGGGGTACGGCTGCTACTACGTGATCTGTCTAACTAAAGTTGCTTTGGCTAACTAAAAGCATAATTTTTAAAGAGAAAAGAGATGAAAGAAAAGTTGGGTCACTTTGTAACTTTAGTTTAGACCAGACTTATTTTTGTGTGATTAAATCCACTAGGCATAAATTTAAAATAAATTGGAACATTCTTCACTTAGAGGGTAGATATAGGGGATTGAACTGATTGTCAGTTTGGACTTAACTTATATATTAGTTAAACTAAGCGTATTTAAAGAAAAAATGAAGTAACACGAAACATGTAAAAGACATGCACATAAGGCAGTGTGAGTTAATGTAACAGCTCCCCACAGCTGAACAGGGAAAGTCTTGCCTTCTCTTCTCTCACGTCTGTCTCTGGTACTTTAATAATGAGCTGATTCAATTTACTTGCCTGGCAGAAACCTAAACCAGAAAAAGCAGATAGTTTGCTCCTGAGTTAATCAACTGAACCAACCGAGAGACTAGTCTAACAAGAACTGATATGGAAAAGGGGTTGGAAAGTGCATGGGGAGGCAGATGCATACTGTAGAGCGTCAGATGCATTTGCAGAACGCACCTTGGACATATCTCAGAGTTCCTTCTTACTTTTGTAAACAGTAAGCTGCAATGTGACATTTGAAGGCCCTGCGTGCTGCCTGGTATGCTATGAGGGAGCATAATCACTTACTTCTTCAAAGTGAACAGCAGATAATTACCATCTTAACGATAAGATGCCTCATTCGGTCAGTTCTGACCCAAGCCTGCAATTCTTGGGCATCATTACAAGTACTCCATATGCAGTGCTGACGTCAAGCCGTTGAGATGGCACATTCTCCCCTCCTCGTACAGATCACTGTAGCTGTTTTGCATTAAGTCTTATTGAGTCTTTACAATTTGTATTAAATAGTCTTGGGATCAGGGACTGGGACTGTAGTTTGGTACTCTTGCAGGGCATGTAGATTTAACCCACTCGGGCAAAGGGGGTTGGCTCCAGGTTTCATGCTTAATGGATAGGCAGTAAAGCATTATTCTTTTACATGAAAAGAGCATGCCAAGCACCATTCTAAAGCAACATGAGAGGAGGGCAAGAAGAGTTCCCTAACTTGGCACTGGCATTAAAAGAAATGCTTATTTAATTGCAGCTTAGCTTGCAAAACTTTTAATGTGACTGAGAGCCCTTACCTACACCTGTTGGTAATGCAACTTGCACTGATGACCACTTCATAGGATGGAATAAGGTATAAATGAAAGATAAAAATTGCTAGAAGCTGGAAATTGTGTTAGGATTGGCAAGATGCTTCTCTGTTACTTCCTCCCTCGCAGATGTTTGCAAAGATCTACAAAGAAAGTTACTTCTGTTGGCTGCATCTCATACTGCTGAATTATTTCAGAGCAAGACGATGAGAATGAAGTGGCATAGTGTGTTCCAAAGCTGGATTAAAAAGTTGGTGCTTGTTCTTCCCTCTGTGGTACAGTTCATCCATACTATGCAGTTTAGCCCTGCTAAGACTTTTTGTAGGGCTCCACTGCTCAATAGATCACCAGAAACTGCTTAAAAATAGCTCTCTAAAAAGGGGGAAGAATGGTAAAGGACTTTGGACTCCTTATATTAATTTCTGCAGAAAGCTGGATTGTCGTTTAAAAAAAAATAGACTGAGTGAACTCTCTTGCTTTAGAATAATAGTATTCACTTAGCCATGTTAACAGTCTGCCACTACTGGGGAAAAAAAAAGTTTAAGACAAGGCAGAACATGAGAGAAGGAGGAAGGAAGAGCAACCAAGAACAGAAATGGGAGTAATCCTAAAGAGCAGCACACTTTCTCAATGAACAAATGAAGACTCTTATGAAGAAAATTATGGAGATTTTAGTCACAGCTTTGTATTTAAATCAAAGAGACACCTTTTGTACACCTGTAATTTTGAAGCAAAGAATACAACTAGAATGAAGCCCATTGCTCAGATTGTACAAGATTAAAAGCAAACTTCAGACATCTCATATGGTGAAAAATTCTATAAACAACCTTTGAAGCAATTAGGCTGTAATTAGGCAATGTTATCAACAGAATAATACTTGAAGCATAGATCTGGATACTTTCATTTTAAAGCTCTGGTGTATCTATATTAAAGTCTGTCAATCATATGAAACTGTCTTTTGAGAGAGATACTCTGTTTTATATTCTTCAGTATTAATATCAAGGCCTAGTGTTCCCCTAGGGGAAAATATGTCTCTAGGTCAGCATGGAAGACTACAATGGTCTTGGCTCCCTACCTACAGAGTTACTTTCTGGTTGCTGGAGTAAGCAGCTCAGAATGTTGTCATAGCTCCTTGGAGGAGAAAGGGAGGGAGCCCCTCCAACTATGGGAAGGAGAGAAGAGGGTTTCTGAGTTGCTGCTTTCACTCCGCTGTGAAAGGAGGCAGGTTTCTTTCCTGCTGCCACCATTCAAGGTGTAAGCCAGGATACAGAAGGTACTGCAGCACTGTATATCTAAGCTTTAGGTTGATGTTATTCCCCATCGGGCTAACTGTAAAGTAAAGTATGATCTGAAAGAATTAAAGGTGTTTTTCTGGCCATGCTATTATACAGTGGCTTGCAAGCTGCCTGGCAGGTTCTGCTGCAAAACGGCAGGGGCAAACACACTGTTTCCAGCCCTGAGCCAGAACTGACCCTGCTGATCTGCCCAGACCTGGCCAGGAGCAGCACTTGGGAAGTGTTCCCTAATGCACATGCCTAACAGCGACCTGCAGAAATTAACACTGTTCCTACTGAATTGGTGCCAGATACCAGCTGCCTTGTTTGTATACGGGTCTTATCCCTTCCTCTTCCACTCCTCACCAATATTTGACATCCTTTGCTTCCTCTTGCTCTCTGCATCTTTAAGATTTTTAAGCTCAGTGAAATCCACTCAGTGATCGCCCATAGGTGATGACTTGTCCCAGATCAACTTCCCAGCTGACCAGCCAAGCAGGAACCTTACCAAAGGTGAGGCAGACAACTGGTTTCAATTGACGAGAGATGGAAGAAGAAGGGATAAGAGGCAACACTGTCCTGTCACAGCTGCTAAAATTGGTCCACTCCAAGAGCACTCTTTTCTGCATGCCTCTTTTTTCAACTCTTAACTTCAAATACGTTTTACTCCTTAAAAGAATTTACAGTGGAGAGCTGTGTAATGCTTCATACAATGTCTACGTTAACAAGTAACAGAGCACAATAGGAGCAGATCTGTAGAGCAGCTATGTTGTGTGCGGTACCTGATGTCCTCACTGCATGACTTACAGGGGTTTATTTTGGACTTGCTCTAGTCTGGTCCTATGGACTGAGTGCCCATTAGTAGCTGGAGCCCATTTTCAGTTCAGTTTAATCAGAAAGGAATCCAGTTCACATGCTCTGAGACAGCTCTGCTAGGCAAACTAAAGCACAGTAAGTGGACTTACTTACTGTAAGCATACAGTAAGCATACTCCTGTGGACTTACTTACTGTAAGCATACAGAAAAGCATACTCCTGAGCTGAATTAAAATACTCGTACATGCACCCAGTGTTAAACAAGGCGTAGGATTTTGCTTAATCTTATGGGAAGCAATACTATAGACAGAAAAAGAGAACACCTTTGAAGTCAAAATACTAGGTAAGGCTTTCATTTGAAGATGTTGTCTTCCCGTTGTCCTCTTCCTTTTTAGTTTTAGCATTCTTATAAGGAAGTGCAGACTATTGGTCTGCTAGATTTTAATAAAGGTGGAGTTAACTGATTAGCAGAAGGGAAGGAGAAAAAGTTGAAGTCTGATCTACTCTTGAAGATAAAATGAAACTAACACGTAAAAAAGGGGAAATAAAGAGAACAGAGATACAAAGGCGGCTTCTGGTGCCCTTATTTCCAGCTTTATTTCTGGAAAAAGACAAGCGTCTTAATCACCCATTCTAGAATATGGCAAACTTGACAGCACTGTTTTTCTTTGAATTGGTAGAAATTTCTTTCTACCTAATCCAGCCTTTTGATCTTTTTTGCTTTTCTGCTGTTTTAGATTTTTTTTTTTTTTGACAACCCAGGCATTGTGCAGCAATCCATTACTCTTCCAAATGGACAAAGAAGCAACCTTTCACTCAGGTTCCAGGGTTCTCTTAAGCAGAGGTTGTCCTCTTGTTCCCTTAAAATAAGGGAGGAATTTATCATCAGAGGCATGTCACAGCTAATTTGTCCCTTTTACATTGATTGCTAATTACATTCTGTAAAGAGTCTTATCTAGAGCCAAAAATCAGCTCTGTGCGCAGGCCACTTTTCAACTCCATGGTGCATAGAAAAGGAGAATTACCTTTTGAGAAGGTTGTCTTCTGTTTTCTCCAGGAGTATTCCAACTTGTTTCCTGTCTCAGTCACCTTTGCCTCTTCCTGAAAAAGCTGTAGAAGATGGATTTGGCAGACTGGAATCTGGTATGCAGGGGGTCCCTCAGCAACAAGGAAGAGGGATTCTATTCCTGTTGGGTTTGAATAGCAAAAGAAAAGCAGCGTGGCATCCTGAATCTGACATATCTAAATATGACAGCACACTTTCCAGATGGCAACATTAACTTCAGAAGCTGCTTTCCTGCTTTCACTGTGCTAATTCATGCTATTTCAAGGACACTCTAGTGGAATGGGAGTACTGCTGTTGTTAACAGTAAGAATAGCTAATTGTTTAATAACTAGTTTTTGAGCGCTCAAAAGTACACAGGCTAAGCTATCCACAATAGGTTCTACATTGATATTCAGTATTCACTACCTTCTGGGAGTTGTATCTGCGGTATGGAGTGGGACCTCTAAAACTGAGTACATGCTGTGTGCAGCAAAACTGTACCTAAAGTGCAGTCCAGAGTACCAAGAAGTTGCTCTGATATCATAAGAACTGTGACTTTTGAACCTGAACAGCACCTATGTCATACAAGACCAAGATTTAGATTTGTAAGTTTCTAAAAATATATATGCTGTGCATGTCAGTAGCTCTCCAATTGCAAAGGCTTTTCATAATTTGTTTTCTTTAGAGCACTGTTTCCCAAATGGTGATACAGTCTCTTGGAGGAGTAAAAAAGGAGCAAGCATAACATGTGAAATAGGTCTTTTTGCTAAAGAGTAGGAGACTAGCTGGGGATGGGGGGGAAACTGATACAATTTATGACTTTTAGAAATTTGATGTACGTTATAGTACTCAGTCAAAATTTAATTCTGTCCCAGAGATGGCTGGAGCCAAAAGAACAAATATTTTTTTCTGTTGAAATTAGAGTATTTTGCAAGATTACACTGATTTTTGAGAGAGTGGAAAATCCTTGAAAATATGATTTTAAAACCATATGTTTCAACTCTTTATACAAGTTGTATTTTATATTTCTGATCTGATTTTCTTCCCCCTTGCTCAAAAGGGAGAAAAATATTTCCATGGCAAACCTCAATGTTTTAACTTTTGAGCCAAACTGATGGTCACACCACTTAGTTTCTTAGCACTTTCCATTTTACAAAGCTGTTGCCAGTTGTTAATATGTTTGTTAAACTTCAAGTACTGTCTACCTCACAGGGAAATTAAAATAATAAAAAAAAAAGATTCCCATGTTTCTGAGTTTCTGAGTATGAGGCTGGCAGGCAGTACATTTTTCTTTTAATCATGTGAAACATTCTAATTCCTTAAATTACTCTTGTATCCCCAGAGAGCTGGTGTGATGATCTCTCTTTGACAATTACCTCTTTCCTCTTCAGATCGCATTCAGGCATAATAGAGGAGCATACATCTGATTCTGGTGCCAAAAGGCCAAGACCTTGAGGTGAATGGGGGAAACTGGGGCAAAATAGCTGGTGATCCTGGGAGAAGGGCATAAGGGGTGAGAGAGAGCAGCAAAGAAACAGGTACTAAGAACAGAAGAGTACTAAGGCTGAGGCTGGAAGCAATTGGGGAAGTAGGACAGAGCTGTGAGCCAGCTAAAGGAAAGAATGACAAGGCTGCATAAAGATCCTGAGGGGAGCAGGAAGGAAAAGGAAGGATTTGGATAAGGCATTTTGTACAGAAATTTGGAGCTGTTTTTTTGCAGGAGGGAGGAGGGAGATTGAATATGAATCCAGAAGCAAGGTTGGCAGCTTTATGGGCAAAGAGTTTTAGAACTTGGAGACTGGCTGGTTACTGAGACTGAGAAAGACATCTGGAGAGTGAAGACTGGTGCAGGGTGCAAAAGGGGAAAGGAACAGGAAAGAGAGATGGCAAGAGGCTGAGAAAGCAGTTCAGATTCTAGAAGAAACAGGTATACATCTAGGTTCAGAAGACCATGCTGAACATCCCTTTCCAAAGGATTTGGGGGGAAGGAAAGGACTGTAAAATGGCTCCTCCTATCACCCCTCAGCACATTAGCTTTGTGGGACTGTGATGCATAAATTTTATGTAACGTGACAAGAGTTCTTCATTTCCTCTCATAGTAGTGACTAGATTTGGCCTTGCTTATTGGAAAGCTTCCATCTTGTAAACTATTTCCTAGCAAATACGTATTTCATCCCCTTTTATTAATGTTCAATATGAGATGACTACCTACTGCTACTATCATTCCATTACTTCCATTCAGGTAGCAGAGATTTATCCATTGCTAGAGATTTCAGCTAGGCTCATAAGCAGTATGGATGCCGATATGATGCTATGTGGTGAATTTTTTCCTTTTTGGTAGAACAGATTTTTGTTGGTGGTAGTTTTAGTCAAGATGAAAGAACACAAGCTTGCAAAATCAAACAATCATAAGTTATGAAATGCCAGAATTAAGGCTGCTTCTTGCTACTCCAGTTCAGCTCATTTATGCATATGCCTTTAGAAACATTAATTGCATGAACAGACTTAAGATACCGATGAGATAGATAACACTTTCTGTATCAATATGTATTAAAACATATGTATTTGTTGTTTAATAAGTGGCAGTGTTTATTCCATGCTATGTGGACCTCACCTAAATGACAGAATTTAATTTACTCATGGGATTTTATGTGGCACATCTCATCATAGTACAAGCGTGCTTCACAAATGTTTAATTTTCACTAGAGCCACAGATGAACAATTTGGGGCCATTCCCAAATTAGAATGGAAGCTAACATGAAGAAAATGCAAGGAAAAAGCTTTTTCCACTTATCATAGCTGCTCAATATGAAATTCACAGAATCACAGAACGGTTGAGGTTGGAAGGGACCTCTGGAGATCCATCTAGTCCAACCTCCCTGCTCAAGCAGGGTCATCTAGAGCACATTGCACAGGATCACGTCCAGACAGCTTTTGAATATCTCCAGCGAAGGAGACTCCACCACCTCTCTGGGCAACCTGTTCCAGTGCTCTGTCACCCTCACAGAAAGAAGTTTTTCCACATGTTCAGATGGAACTTCCTGCATTTCAGTTTGTGCCCATTGCCTCTTGTCCTGTCGCTGGGCACCACTGAGAAGAGTCTGGCCTCATCCTCTTGACACCCCCCTTTCAGATACTTGTACACACTGATGAGCTCGCTGCTCAGTCTTCTCTTCTCCAGCCTGAACAGGCCCAGCTCTCTCAGCCTTTCCTCATAGGAGAGATGCTCCAGTCCTCTAATCATCTTGGTAGCCCTCCGCTGGACTCTCTCCAGTAGCGCCATGTCTCTCTTGTACTGGGGAGCCCAGAATTGGACACAGCACTCCAGGCGTGGCCTCACCAGGGCTGAGCAGGCCCTGGTGTAGGGCCTACTTTCAGAGTACCCTCTACCCTTCCACCACAACTTCTGAGGCCAGAAGTTTTTCCTCATATTCAGATGGAACTTCCTGTGTTTCAGTTTGTGCCCGTTGCCTCTCATCCTATCGCTGGGCACCGCTGAGAAGAGTCTGGCCTCATTCTCTTGACATCCCCCCTTCAGATACTTGTACACATTGATCAGATCTCCTCTCAGTCTTCTCTTCTCCAGGCTAAACAGTCCCACCTCTCTCAGCCTTAAATTCTTCTGACTTCCGTTTTTCAAAATACTACATGCATAGTTCCAAGTGGATTTAGCTATAGCTTTGTGTGCATGATACTTCACAAATCAGGTGCAAAACTGAATTAGAATCAAGCATTAGAAAAGAAAGAATCAACTACTGGAAGTCAGTTGGGGAAAGCTGGGATTAATGTTGGTCAGCATCATGTAAGAACTCTGTTCGGGAAGCAGGGATTGAATTCTGCAGGACAGTGTAATGGTGTTAACCATAAAATGTCTTTTTTTTTTTTTTTAATCTGTCTGCTTGCCACATTCACTGTATTTGACAGAAATACAAAAATTGGAAATGAGTCAGAAGCTAATCTACTTGCCTCTTACACAGCACAAATCTGATTCACGTATTTCAGCATCATCTGTCTCACGTATTGAATGAGGCTAGAAATTGTAATCATGAAATTTCTTATACTTTCAACATAAACTTTGGTATAATACTATTCCTGTTAATGTATTTTCTTCTTTATAATATATAGAGTAAGTTATCTAGCATCTATCCCCAAGATGGAAATCTAAAGTCAGGAATGTATACTGTGACCTGTATCTATGGCTTATATATGTAAAGTGCATTTACTTAGTAACATGTTCAAGAACATTAATTTGAACCATTATAAACATTGCTGCTTGTCTGCACTAATTTACATCTTTTTAATTTTTTTTCCCCTACTCAGGATATCCTTTTGCCTTGTTCCAGCGCTATTTCCTCTTCCAGAAGGAGACCTACCTCATTCATTTGTACAATGTGTTCACAGGACTCTCAATTGCTTACTTCAATTTTGGTAAGATGGGTTGGGGAAGAGAGAGCTGCCTGGCCCAGGGCTTGCTGCAGTCTGGAAGGACCCGTAATGGGAAGCTGCTGAAACGTCATTTCTACTTCCTCTCTCTCTGTCTCTCCCCACAGGGATGCAATTCTTTCATTCCCTGCTATGCGTCCTAGTGCAGTTCCTCATACTGAGACTTATGGGTCGCACGATCACTGCCGTCTTCACCAGTTTCTTCTTTCAGATGGTAAAATTCTCTTTCTTGTTGCATCTGTTTGTAGAAAAGAGCCCTCTGTTCAGTTTTTTACTTCCCAAAAATGACTGGGTGGAAAAGTGGAGACAGATCAAAAAGTGCTAGAGGAATTAGTTTGAATAATCCACACAATGGTTTCTTTCAGACATACCTTATGGCTGGATATTACTTCACAGCCACAGAGCATTATGACATCAAGTGGACAATGCCACACTGTGTCTTGACTCTAAAGTTGATAGGTGAGTGATTGCTCCTTGCTCCTCTTATGTTCTGCAAGACTTGCCTCAAGGAGGAGAGGCTGATTGTTCAGCCCAGCCAGCCCATCACAGGTCTTCACATAATTGTTTCTCTCCACTAGGTCTGGCCATTGATTATTATGATGGAGGAAAAGACTCGGTGAGTAAAACCCTCTTTCTCCTTCACTCCTTCCCCTTTCCCTGCCATTCCAGTGAGCTATAGGTCAGAAGATCAAGTTCAAAGGATGCAATGTAATAAGCTGCATTAATTGTTTGGTAAAAGCCGTAACTGAGAGAAGAGCATCTGTGAGTGTATGAGGGCACCAAATTCCAGAGTGGAAAGTAGTAATCTGGGACAGAGACAGTAGTGATTACAGCTAGAGAAAAGCTCCTTCAGTGCTGAATCACGTCAGAATATTATTCTGTCCCCTTCAAATCCCCCACCATCTTCTTCCCCAAAATCCATTGCTTTAGATTCCTGATCCCCAATGCTCTTTATCTTGTGGGTAGTATTCCTTTAACTTGCAGACCACCAGCACTGAATCTCAGTTCCCTTGTTTAGTCTCATCATACCCTTGTGGATAATTGCTGTTTACCCTTTGTCAGTGTCCTGTTAGTTAGTACAGCAGACCAAACACAGCTCAGCATGTGGGAAAGGACAGAACACTTGATACAATCTCTTAATCTTTCTTCTAGTATCTATGTTCCACATCTGTTCAGGGCCTCATGCAGTCTTTAACATCCATATAATCACTGCTGATTGCAAGAAAACAAAGTTCAGCTGAAATTTCCTAAGGTGAAGTTTCAAATATTTAAAGGCAAAGAATTTAAGTAATGTTCTGGCATCAGGCAGTATGGATTCTAGGGCTGTAAGGACTTGAAATACTCTCCCTGCTATTGCATTCGGGGACTGGTAGAGGTTAGAAACACTGCTCTTACTCAGCCTACTGTGCTGGAGGGGATGCATGTCAACAGATCCCTTGTTTTGAGCTTATTTGGGAATGGAGATGTACGCAATTGGTCTCAGCCATTGGATCTTGTCACTATGTAAAGGTGTCGGGACAGAGGGTGGGGAGAGGGATGGAACGTGGAACACGGGAAGTGGAAAGTTCCTTATATATGGAGAGTAAGAACTTAGACCATAAAGGAGGTAGGTTGAGGCTATAACATCCAGAGCTAGTATGAGATCCCTGGGATGATGTTAATGCCACTCCCTTTGGTACAGGAGTTCCTGACCCCTCAGCAGTCGGTATTTGCTGTCCGGGGAGTTCCTACCTTGCTGGAGGTCTCAGGATTCTCCTATTTCTATGGTGCCTTCATGGTGGGGCCTCAGTTCTCCATGACAGACTATCAGAAACTGGCAAGGAGTGAGATGACTGACGTTCCAGGCCAGAGACCCAATAGGTAATGAGAGACACTTAGCTCCTCACCTTCCTAAGATCCCAGAATACCTCTCACTGAATCATCCACATGTTCCCTGCAGCACAGTGCCTTCTTACCCGAACACTGAAGTACTGTGACCAAAAGTGCTTTGGAAGAGAAAGCAGTCTTTCAAAAGTTGCTTATAAACTCTCTGCATAATGTCCTAGCATTGTTCCAGGGCATGAATGTCAACAACCATTTGATATCTTCAGTACAGACCCAGTGCCAACCTGGTAATGCTAACATTCCAAATGGAGGCATCTACTGCAGGGGATGTGGTGACTCCCTATCACTGTCTCCCCTAACCCCTCATCTCTACTTCTGCTTTCTTAATTATGAGTTTGAAGATCTCTTTCCAATGTTTGACCTCCATTTTTTCTTTCTCAGCTTTGTGCCTGCTCTCAAGCGCTTGAGTTTGGGCCTGTTATTTCTAGTAACCTATACCTTGTCAAGCCCATACATCTCTGATGAATACCTCATCTCAGATGATTACATGGTATGTATTAATGTGGCAGTTTGGGCTATGGAATTATTACACTTCTCTGGAGGGCACCGGATCTACAAGAGCGGAGGAGTTAAACTCAGTTTTTTAGGTTTGCCTCAATTTAAAAAGAAGAAAAAAATCAGCAGCTACTACCAAGTTTTCCCACAACTAATTTTGCTTTGCTGTCTGTCCTGTGGATTCCACAAATAAAGAATTAATCTTAGATGTTACTGTTGCTCTTAGAATCCTAACATACATATTTTGTGGCCTTTAAAAGACCATCCCTCTAACCATTACATGCAAAGAATTTTACCAGAGTAACTTGCAAGGCTTCTTAAAATCTGAAAGTAAAGGTTCATCGTACAGACTTTACAAGTTTAGCTATCCTTCAGTACAAGCCAACTTTCAAAGAACAACTTGATCTCTTGCTTCCCTCAACTCTGTTATTTTGGGGAGAGGGATGCAACAGCTGACTCTGCAGATTGACACATTTGAATTAGAAGTTAACCAGAATCCTTGTGGTTCTTACAAAACTCTAACAAGTAATTTCTACTTGCAGATTATCAGTGTTTCTGTGTCAGTACAAACAAATGAGGGCATAAATTCCAGAAATGATTATGCTAATCCCAAAGTCTTCCCAAAGTAGATATTTCATTACTGCCAAATGTTACTAAAGGAAGTAAAATGATGCATGAATCTTCTAAATGTAGGAAAACATAAACCAGTATCTTGGCAATCTGGTCCATATAGCAGTCTCAACACCTAGATCAGATCAAAAAGCAAGACACTGGTAAGATCTCATTTACTCTGTCTGATTATTGCCAGTCAACTCAGGCTCAAGGCACCTAAATAATTGTCTTTTCCTGAAGTGCTGAAAGGGCGCCCTCCTACTTAGACTGCTGTATTAGCTGCCCTGCATGATCTAAGAAATGTTAGCCTTGAGGAAAACCAACTCTCAGGAATGGTTGGCAATCTTTTTATTCTGTTTCACTCTATCTCTGCAGGAGAAGCCTTTCTGGTTCCGTTGTTTTTACATATTGATCTGGGGCAAAGTTATACTCTACAAATATGTAACCTGCTGGCTTGTTACGGTGAGTCTAGAAACCTTTTCAGAAATAAAGGACAAAAGAGCAAAGTTAGCACCTGTGCAGCTACTCAGTATGCTCTTGGACTGGACACTAAATGGAACTAATTCAAATATCTGGATATAAATGCAGATCAACTTAACCTGCCATAAATTAGCAAAGGCTAACTAACTAAATAAAAAGGAGGCAGCTTTTAATCCATTTCTTCCATCTGCAGTGGTGAGTGCTCTACACTGAGCAGAGTGAGCCCAAGCTGCCCCAGTTCTGTCTTCCCAGAAAAGGGTGATGTTTTCTTCTTATCTTTTCTTCTTCCCTGTATCTTTTTCCATAGGAAGGTGTCTGCATCCTTGTTGGTCTGGGGTATAATGGGAAGGATCAGAGTGGAAAGCCTACATGGGATGCCTGTGCCAACATGAAGGTCTGGCTGTATGAGACAACGCCTTTGTTCACAGGGACCATCGCCTCTTTTAACATCAACACCAATGCTTGGGTAGCCCGGTGAGCAGGATGAACCTTCCCACTTCTGTAATGTGCCAGTAACTTGTTTCAGCTAGAACCACGATCCTAGGCTGAGAGGGAATACTAGAGGAAGAATCTGTCAGTTTTCAGTTCTTAGACCCTTCCTTACATTTTGCTTTTGGCTGCTGTCCCTATTGAAAAAGGTTACTGAGTTGATAGACCTTCTGATCCAATCTAAGAGGTCAGTTCTTTAATACAGACAAAAAGTTGAAGATGGCAAAAGCAGGGGGTGCTATTTGGGGCACAGGTTAGAATGGAACTATAGTGAGCCTTAAGGCCTGCTTGGTCAAACAGCCACAGACCGTTCTAAAAGTTAGTTCCTACGTTGTGCCTCTTGATTCATGACTATGCAATGACTCGACTGGGATTTGGTTCAGCCTTTTCTGGGATACACACCTGAATGGTAAAATAACTTCCTTTCTGTGTGTTGTCAGACAAACTATCTCTTCCTATTAGCTGGGACTTCTTTAAGACAAGGGCTGAGGTACATTTTTCCCTTGTAAGAGGAGCTGTCTTCCCTGCTTCTGTCACCGCAGGGATATGCAGGGGTCTATGGTCTCCTGGGCCTTACATCTCCAACATGGAGAGGGGAGGACAGCCAGCAAACTAGAAGGACATTGAGTTTGTTTCTTCTCTGCTCTAGCTACATCTTCAAGCGCCTGAAGTTCCTGGGTAACAAACTGCTGTCACAAGCACTGGCCCTGTTCTTCCTGGCCATTTGGCATGGGCTGCACTCTGGCTACCTGGTGTGCTTTCAGATGGAGTTGCTTATAGTCATCGTTGAAAGACAGGTGCACTTTGAATTATTGGAATGGGGTGCAATAGGCTTTACATGGATTAAATATGAAATATATCTGCTCACGTTGAAATTGGTGTTCAGACACTACTGTTCTGTTCTCAAGAGTTCAGTAAGTTGCTGGCTTCTGCAAGGGCAAGCCATGAACTTACTATGAAAGCTGACAAGAAAGAAACTGGAGAACTTGGCACATGACTAGCGGGCAATTGAAGAGGTTGGCACCTCAGAAGACAAGCACAGGAGCTGAATGCTTCTGTTAAATCTCGGTATGAGAGAACAACATTCTGTATTTAATGTCATTGATTTTGGATTAAAACTTTGAGCAGGACGGGATACTTAATTACCTTTTTTGACTCATTGGCTACTGATACTGATTTGACACAACTGGATAGATGCTTTGGCTGCAGAACCTGAACATACAGCCACAGGCCATCCAACTGAGGAGAATTCTTTCTTTTTTCTTTAAACTAGGTCATAAACCTTGTTCGGGACAGCCCTCTCCTGAGCACTTTGGCCTCCATCACTGTCTTGCGGCCTATCTTCTACGTGTTGCAGCAGGCTAACCACTGGATGTTTATGGGTTACTCTCTGGTGCCATTTTGCCTTTTCACCTGGGACAAATGGATGAAGGTATTTAGTAGTCTCCAAAGGATAACCCGTGCAGCCTTTTTGTCTGCATGTCTTCTCGTGCATACTTGGCCCAGATCTGCTTGCTGATCCTTAACCACGTCTTTCTCTTTACAGGTGTATAAGTCTATTTATTTCCTCGGCCATCTGTTGTTCTTCACTTTATTACTGGTGTTGCCTTATATTCGTAGAATATTTGTGCCACGAAAAGAAAAGCTAAAAAAAGCAGAATAGCAGCCAAAAGGTAAGGCTGTATTGTGTTCTGGAACATGTAGCGATAATCCCACACTAACACTAAGAGGTGAGGTGGGGCAGCAGTGTTACTTCCTAAGGTGAAAGAGAAACAGATGAAAACAGCCTACATCTTTTTTTTCTTTTTCAGATTGTACTGTGCGTGTGTTTTTAGGAGTCGATTTAACACTCCAGAAGCAAAAGCATCACCTGCCAAGTTTGCTGTGTTGAAGTATGACTTCTTTCAACATGAGGAGGGGGAAAGAGAAAGCACAGGGTCAGAGACCCAAAAGGAGGAGTATGGAGGAATTCTTCTTCCAGAGCCTCCACTTTCTATGTTGCCTTATCTCTCTGCCGCCCTCCAGTGGACACTCTTGTCTCTCTGCTGATATCAGATGATTGTAAAACATTCAATGCAGGAACTATATTGGAATGGAGCCACCTTCTGACTTTTCTACGTTTGTCATCCAAGATAAAAATTGCTCCTGTTCTTTTTCATATCTGCGTCAGCTCCTTTGCTCTGGGGTGCATCCATGTGGGAATTATGAATTGTCTTCCACCACAAAGCAAGATAATTCTAAAGGATCGAGTAACACAAGCTATGGGTCAAGCAGGGCACAGCTGAGAACTTAAGTTCTAAGTCAGCTTTGGGCTGTGTCCCTGCTATAAAGACAAACTCTGCCCTACTCACATGAAAAAGCAGAATACACAAGCCTTCTTATCAAAAGTGACCTTTAATAGGAAGAATGACGGGGGCAGTCCCTTTAAAGTGTCATTGCTCCAGAAGCTACAAAGAAGAAACTGAAGTCTTTCCAGGAGTTCAAGGTTGCACAAGGTCCAAGCCTGAGTAAAAAAGCCCCTCCAGAATCTGGAGTCCACCAGGACAAGGGCTAGAGGCAGAAGCTCATACCACTCCCCAGACTTCCTCAAAGGCAGTAGTAATCTTGGCACATGTCAGGGCAGCAGAGAGGGGATAGTTACTGATAGAGACCATCTTTTCTGTATAGTCAACATTGACCTGGGGGGAAGAGAGAGATGTTAAGCTGCAAGTTTTCACTTAATCCTAATTCCCTTGCTAGAAGGGGCACAGCATTTCTCCCACATGGCTGTGCTTCATCCAAGATTTAACACAGCCACAGTGGAGCACAGGAAAACTGCTAACCCTCACCTGTACTCTCTCTTGGGGGGGAGGCAAGGCTTAAGTGTTGCAGAGTTGAATAGTTTCTTGATATAAGCCTACCTTGGAGAGGAGTCAGAGGGAACAGCCAAACAAAAAAATGGAACAGAACAGCGTGTACAGATTAACACTGACAGCTATTCTGACAGAGATCCTTGCAACCCCACGTTGGAAATACATGCACTTACCGAACCATGGGCAAAAGCTCCCACAACAACGGCAACTGGTTCTGCTGCAGGAACCAGTTCACGCAGGTCTGACACTTTGGGAACTGCAAAGGAAGTACCTATCTTCATGCAGCCCACAGGGAGATGATCACTGACTGGATTTTTAATCACCTGCAGAGAGCATAAAGATAACGGGGCAGACATAACAGATCGCCCACTTAGCTAAGTCCACTGTGCAGACAAAATCCCTCCTATATCCCTAGCTGCAGGGGAGGAATGTTGTGAGATTACCCCTAAAAGGTCAAAGAATGTTTACCTTCAACAACTTCTGTGGCCCATCAGCTGCTCGAACACTAAGCTTATGCAACAACTGAACTAGCAAGAAAGAGAAGAAAATCAGTTAAGCAGTGTGTTCTTTTGCTGGAGGAATTTTATCCTCTGTAAAGTCATTAGAGCTAGCTAAACTAGACAAGAAGTCCATCTTTAGATTTCACAGTATTTTCTAAAGCAGCCCTAACAAACTCTGATCGTTGAGTTATTTTAGTGCAAGCACAGTCTCATTCCATTACTCCCAATTCTGCTAAAGAATGAATAATTGGGGTATACATCTTGAAACTCAGAA